GAGGGGGAGGGTGGGGGCGGGGGGGGAGGGTATGGATGAGGGTGGGCAGCAATAAGAAAGGCTGCATTTCAGATCCTTCAGCTTATTGTTTAATTTATCTGGAAATTAAGTCTCACAAGGTCTAAGGTCCCAACCCCACAGTCTGCACTCACAGGAGCGCACACGAGGTGTGCTGTGCTCTGGCACCTCTGACACAGCTTCAGCACCCAAGGGTGCTGCTGGAGGCAAACGCTGTGTGACACAGCCACACACACACCCTCACCCCACAGTAACTGACGCCGGACCTGCTGTGCTTGGAGCGATTCTTCCTCCCCTCCACGCTGAGCAGGGAAAATAATGACCCCTCCCTCCCCCGGCCTCCAGCCAGCCCCACACCTGTCCGTGCCGCAGCAGGAAAGCCACTGCCAGGAGCTGCAGGGAAGGAGCCTCACGGTGAGCAGAGGGGCAGCTGTTTTACAGACTTCAGGCCACTTCCCGGAAGACATATCACCCTTGCAGGACAAAGAGTTAAAACTGACATAACTGTGATTTATTAACATGAATTAAAATGCCCAACCAGTGCTGCAATGTGACAGTATATTAAAAAAAATTAAAGATCATATACTGTACTACTTTCACAAAGATCACACTTTTTTTTTGCAAAAGAGACTTATTATATACAATACTATATCAAATGAAAGAAGCTTTAAGCAATTTTACAAGCAAAAGAAATACAGTATTTACAGCACTCGTCAGAGACATTAGAAACAGTCTATACATTAAATTACAATTTCTGCAAATAACTGATGAAACAAAAAGCCATGTCCACACCAAAACTATAAAAATCTGTATTGCATCGTTTCCTATCTCTATGCACACAAAGAACTGTTGACAGAAGAAAATGAGAAAAAAAACCTGTTAGTGCCATCACTTAGCCTGTGTACTTATTTAATTACATATGTATAAAAGTAATATAGAAAACATTCACTAAATGAATTTAACTGCAACAATAAAATTTTAAAGATTATGCAGCATCAAACCTACTGCCAGAAAAAACAGCTGGAATGTTCACTTACAAAATAAAAAGAAATACCTAATACTGGCTTAACAGCACATTTTCAGGAATCTTAAAAAGCAAAAAATGGAAAGAATACAATGAAAGAGCACTGGTGTTTGCTTTTATACAAAGTATCATGTACAAGCTTTAAAAAGTACCTCGAATAGGTACATATGAAATATACACAGTTTATATTACAGAACATTTTAAAAATGTTGAGAATTAAAGGGATCTGTTTTAATGCCACCCTGAACCATGGTAATTGTTCTGAAAAGTGGGCGGCACCTGTGCTCTGTGGATGGGGATCTGTCCGGGCACTGGCGAGGCCTGCTGCGGCCCCTGCACGCCGTGGGGCAGGGTGACAGAGCCAGGGTGAGGGCAGAACCCCGACGCCGTAGGGGTCGCGATACTGTTTGGTCCTTGAGGTTGGATGTGAGGACCCTGACCAGGGAGTGGGCAATGAGGTCCTGTTCCAGCAGGCTGATGTTGGGGTCCAGGTCCTAAGGTCGTGTGATGCGGGGCTTGTGAGGAATAGGAGGAGACGCTCGTGTGAGCGCTGGAAGGGAAATGGGGGGGCGCTTGATGAGACGGGTGGTGTAACCCTTGTGCTGACGCTGGGTGATGCCCCGAGCCTATAACGTTGGAGGGTGGGGGGGGGGGCGGCGGAGGGGCAGAGTTGTGCTTGCAAACCTTGGTGTCCGGATGAAGGATGGGGAGGTTGGTGGTGGGGGAGAGGACCTGGTGGCGGAGGTGGCGGCGGCAAATGGTGACCAGCAGCTGGCGAATGAATGTGCGATCCGGGAGCTACCGCCACGGCATGAACCGGACCGACGACGTGTGCTACAGAGTGCTGCTGATGAGTACTTGGCTGCTGTACAAGGTGAGGTCCTGGAGCAGGCGGTGGTGGCGGAGGAGGTGGAGCAGCAGACGCCGACGCCTGGTGATGAAGACCGGGGTTCTGAGAAGGCAAAAAATGCCCTGCAGTTACGTGGTGTCCCGGCACTGTTTGCTGACCCGCGGTGCCAGGACGCGCTAGGAAGCGCTTGATTTGGTCCGGATGAGAACACGGTCTGTTGGGGTATGCTGCCCTTGAGCTGACTGTAGCTCTGAAAGTTTCCAGAGGGCTGCTGGCTTTGATAGTAAGTAGAAGAAGGAGGTGGGGGGGGGGGGGGAGGTGGTGCATTGCTGTTCAGATTCTGTTGGTTAAACTGGCTGGAAGAAGCTGAAGATTGTCCTGAAGTTGTCTGAGTGAAGAGAGGTCCGCCAGCCTGCTGCTGAGTACCAGGCGGGAGGGCTGGTGCTGCCGGATAGAAGTTTCGGTGCGTTTCCCTCTGGGGCGTCCCCACTTGAGGTGACTGCGGGTGATGAGGGGAGGTGGTGCATTGCTGTTCAGATTCTGTTGGTTAAACTGGCTGTAAGAAGCTGAAGATTGTCCTGAAGTTGTCTGAGTGAAGAGAGGTCCGCCAGCCTGCTGCTGAGTACCAGGCGGGAGGGCTGGTGCTGCCGGATAGAAGTTTCGGTGCGTTTCCCTCTGGGGCGTCCCCACTTGAGGTGACTGCGGGTGATGAGGTCTGTATGGAGATCCCAGCTGCTGCGAGTGAGGCTTTGGTGACAGGTAACCATGCTGCACGGGCGCGTGAGGGGTAGACGGCTTGGGAGGGTTTTCGATGTGAGGCGAAGGGGGGCAATGCAGCTTCAAAGGTGCGGACGGCAACTTCTGTGAATGTGGAAGTTGCTCGGCGGAACTGCGCAGGTGCGGTTGAGACGGGTGATTTTTTGAAAGTGCTTGGACACTGTTGGTCAGCTGTTTTTGTTGCAGCTCGGATTTCAGGTGATTCGCACATTCGGCTTCAGGGGCATTAGCTGCAGTTTCCCAGTGCGAATCTGGTTTTGTGGGTGTTTTACCAAGCGACTGCATTGAAACTACAGGACTGGGTGAAGAGGGCTAGAATGAGAAGAAAGTCAGTCAGTGCAAAATATTCAAAATACTCAACTACGCATGCATTAGAATGAAAACAACTCAGAATACTGTTCTCTCCTTCTGATGGTGAAAAAAAGTGTTAAGGCACAGGAGATGTATTTGGTATAAGAATAACAGTGACAACAGAAAGCTCCAAGTTACTAAAGATGCTATTTTTAGCATGTATGTACCAATCATTCTTCAAAGCCAAAGACTAGCAAATGTAATTTAAGGCAGTAACAGAAGTATGACCCATCAGGTCAAAGTCAGGCAAAATTTGTTATTTGTTAAAGCTCTGGATCTCCGAGTCTGAAAGAATTAAGTCCAGCCTAGACCATTTACAAAAAGAAAGCCAATTTCAGAGTGATGTAACATTTTTAAAACTGGCATAATGCAAACAAATGGACTAAATATTACAACCTGAAGTACTTCATTTAACGCTGCACACGCAGCTACTCAACATCGTTCTCCTCCTCAGTGCCTCTAGTGACAAACACTGCCAAACCCTGACATGGCCAGAGCAAACTGCTGTTAAGGTAAGAAGTGTGTAAATCACATTACTACTGCCCGCTCTGACTGGCAGTTCATCAGCATCTGCCCTCCAGAACTGTGG